AACCTAGCGTTATTAAAATAATACTAGCACTTTTAACCCTTTTTTTAATAGTAAGTGTACTGCTAATTACTTAGTAACTACTTACCTAACTTTATTTCTATAATTTAGCCTATATAACTATAAACTGCGTTTACCTTTTTTTACAGAGTAGACCTTATAGCTTCTAGAGTAAACTACTACTTACTATTTTTTTAGTAAACATAACATTTACTAGTAGGCTAGTTAGCCTAAGCTTACAGCTAGTAAACAAGGTTTACCTGTTAACTCTAGGTGTAGTATCCTTACAAGCTAGGCACAGGCGCAGGCACCACCACAGCAGGGGGAGGAGGAGGGAGGAGAGGAGCAGCTAAAGAGGGAGGGTTATCCCTAAACAGCTACTAGACCTCCTTATTATTATTATTATTATTATTAAGAGGCAGCAGAAAAAAAAGAAAAGAAGAAGAAGAAAAAAAAGAAAAAAGTAGTAGTAGTAATAGTAGTAGTAGTAGTAGTAGTAGTAGTAGTAGTAGAGGAGGAGGAGGAGAGAGGCAGAGGCGGACAAGAGGGGTAGGAGGGAGGCAAAGGCAAGGGCAAGGGCAAAGGCAAGGGCAATAGCAATAGCAGCTATACTAATGTTAGCAACCTATACCCTTAACTACAACTGCTATAAAGATAGCAACAGTAACTAATAGCTTATAAAAAGCAGAAAATGCGCCTACTATAGGTTACTTTATAGCCTAAAGTAGCAGCTGCTGCTATAGCTTAATGTTTATTTTAAGTTATAAAACCTAGAGCTCCTAAAAAAGACTAAAAGTAAGGCATGTTAATATTATAGTTAAAGTTAAACTTATAATGTAGTGTTATTTATATTACTATTTATTAGTTACTAGCAGGTTATATATGTTATACTTTTACTATAGTAACTTTACTACATTTTTACTTTTACTAACTTCTAAAACTTCTGTAAACTTTTAGACTAATAAAAACTTTATAATATATAGTACTTTTTTAAATTATAAAATACTTTAAAACTTTAGCTAATTTTTACTAATTAGATTACTATAAACTATAATTTTACTTTAAACATTTTAGATATTTTAAGTGCTTTAAAACTTTTATAAACTTTTAGGCTAACTAAGGCATAAAGTAAAGAATTAAAGCTTTTAAAAAAATGCTTAAGCTAATAATATAATTTATAACACATTAAACAGCTTTTTTTTTTATTAGTTATATATTACACCTTTTTACTCTAAAATACTAGTAAGAAACTAAGAACTTTTTTTTAGTAATATAATGTATTTCTATCTACATCTACTAATGCTGCCTAGGGTTGTAATAGTGTAGTGTTTGTAGCTGCCTTATGTATATATAGCTTGTTCTGCCTACTGTAACTTGCATTATTGCGTACTATTACTAGTAAACTTCTATCTTTTAGGGGCTCTAGCTAACTAGATTAACTAGTGCTAGCAGTTAGCGTTACTAGCCTACTATTAGCCTGCTTTTAAACATCCTAGAGAACCTAGACTACACGCTAAAAAAAGTTATCTATAAAACTCTATAAATATGTAACTTTCTAAGTAGGGCTTAATATAATTACATAAATAATGCTACATAACATGTTATTTAGAGGTAGTATCTCTAGTATAGTTAAGGTAAAGGCACTTACAGTTGTATAGGTATTGTCTAATACAACTAGCTAGAGGACAACGCGGCCACTAGAGGATGCAGATGCGGCCTGCAGTGTACGTTGCAGTGCTACCTTCTTAGCAAGAGCGTTATCCTGTTAACAGATTTAAGTAACGCAATCTACGCTTAAATTCTCTATAGATAATAAAGCATAAACTTAACTAGATTTATCTTACTCTACACACTAGTGTTATAGCTTTTTTTTATAATAAACTAAACATATGTTTATAAACACTACTATGCTTAAAAGTATATTATAAAGTGCTTTAGCATTAGTCTTAAAATGTTTTTAACTAAATATAAATAAAACATGCTTATATATCTTATTAACTATAAGATCTACCTTAATAGTATACTTAATTTTATAGTATTGCAATAGCTTCTATTACAAGCACATTTTTATATACATAGATAAAGGCAGAGGTGCTTAACATATAAAGTTACTATAGTGTCTCTTTACTTAGATTCTAGCCTACTTATTAAAGGTAATAAGTATAAAAGTAAGAAGTATACTTATTTTTAAAGTAGAAACTACACTTAAGGGCTCTAGCAGTAGTGTAGCTAGCAGAAAAAGTGCAATATTACACTTTAAATAGTAAAAACCTAGTACAATAATAGATCTATCTTTTAAAAGGACATTATACTTCTCTAGTTAAGACAGAATACTTTTATAGTAATATAAACTATTAGCTATATTAATCTAGCAATTACCTATGTTTGCCTAGGCCTGCATATTAGACTTTGTCTAATATCTAGCAGAAGGCTAGTCTAACTTAGCAGTTTCTTAGCTAGACTTTTATAAGTAGACACTATTTATGTTGCTAGTATTACTTAGTGTAAAGCTTTAAGCTAATTAACTATATACTTTTACTTTATTAACTAGTAACTAATTCTGCGCTGTTTTTCTTCTTAAAAGCTGTCTATCTTATTTAAAGTAAAGTAGTAAAACGCTTAGTTTATATAAACTCTTAGAGTTAAACAACTAATATAGTAGAAATATATACATAGTACTTAATTAACTAAGTGCGCGTCTACTGCGCCTAGTACACTGCTAGAGATCTAAGAAGCTCTTTATAATTAAAAACTTCTAGCATATAACATAGTTAACATTAAAGATATTAACACCTATGCTTAGCAAGGTAGTAGCTACTATAATTTAGATATAAAATATTAGCTTTTTAAACTTAGAATAACACTTATTTTAGTTATATTTTTACACATTTATAGTAAACATCTCTACTATATTATACACACACTGTAGACTATTATTAATATTAGTTATATACTAATTATAAGGTTCTAGTCCTTTTATTAAATAAAAAAGCATTAAGTAAAACTACACTACAGCTAACTAAATAAATATACGCCTATTAATAAATATAACTATTTTAGAGATCTTTTTAAAATTAGCACACTTACTTAAGACACTTTCTTTTAAAAGAAAATAAAAACTATTTTATAAGTTAACTTTACCTTATAGTAAAAAAACTACTAAAATAGTAACATTAAAGTAATTAACTAACATGTAGATAACCTTAGTCTAGTACATACAGCAGCCTAGCAGACAGAAACTAGCGTAGCGTAAGACTGCATCCTCTGCAGTACTGTCTAATGTAGTAGAATAGGCAAACTAGATAATATTCTTTTAAAGTATAACTTATAGTTAACTTAGCATTATAAATGTAAGTTAAAACTTTTTTTAGTCTAATATAAGATAATATTTATTAATAGCTACTAATTTAATCTAAGACTGCAACTTTAAATTCTTTAAAATGTCCTAGAAAGCTCTACTAGAAGCCTACTTTAGCTTTATAAGTAGATAAGTAAATTTTTTATTAATAATTTAAGTAAACAGTCCCTGCTAACTAGCTCTACTTTACACATTAATAATGCATAGCTTAGATCTTTTTAGTTATTATATGTTGTCTAGCTGCTTATTTTTAAGCTTATTTAGTAAAATAATCTAAATAGTAATTTTAGCAGTTAACACTAAATAAGCATAGAAGATTATGCTCTTACTAAAACTAGTCTAGGTAATTAAAAAAGTATTCTTATAATTAAATATTAGTTGCTTTAAGGTATAGACTTACTTATTACATAGTAATAAGCTACTATTATTAGCGCTTATTATCCTTCTTTTATAAAGAATCTGTGTAAGACACGCGCAAAGAACATCCTTCTAGAATTTAACATTACAGACATCCCTAGCTACTAAGATAAGGCTAGAAAGATCTTTTAACTTTATAAATAAGACAAGATTAATCTAAAGCTAAAAGCTTAAAGAAATAAAGCTTTAACCTATTATATTTAAAGCATTTTAATGTCTTTACTTTTTTTTACTTCTTTACTATTTTAAATGCTTATTTTTTTTTTTTAACTTTTTTTTTTACTATACTTTAAAAGTTTTTAGAAGTTTTTAGAAGTTTCTAGAAGTTCTTAAAAGTTTCTAGAAGTTTTTAAAAGTTTCTAAAAGTTTCTAGAAGTTTTTTAAAAGTGTAGGATCTCTAACACCCTTCTTATTAACTAAGTTGTATAATGCAGTAGGTTAAGCATAAGTGTACTAATAACTGCAACTGCACACCTACACCTGTTTACACTAAAGTTTTAATTATAAGAGGTAATAGAGAAGGCATGTGTGCCTTAGCTTCTATAGTTATAGAGAGATACAACACGTAGTGTTAACAGGAGTAATAGGATAGAGATAGATAGTTAATAGCTAGAACACACAACATGTTAAAAACATGTTTAATAATGTACTTTACCCTTTAAACAGTGTTAGATATGTCTTAAAATGTGCTTATTATAAAAATAAATACCTCTGTTTTTAATTACATTAAACATTTTAATAAATACTAATGCTAGTATAGTGCTATTATATAATTTAATAAATTTATAAACTAAGATACATATAAACTTACTTTATTTTTTCTTAGACACTCTATAGATAATTTTACACATTATTAGTAATTAGCCTTTAATTAGCCTAGAAAACCCTAGAAGTTTTAATTAGCTTAGAAGTTTTAGAAGTTTTGTCTAATCTAAAATAGTATTAGTGCAAAATCATCTGTGGGGCGGCTGACTCGTGAGATAAGAACCTTGGGAGCGGGCGGCTGGAGCGCACGTGATCTACGGCTTCCCTAGCCAAGCCCATCTCAACTAGGCCAAACAACACCTCACTTTCTCTGAGCCAGTGTGCCTCCGAGAGCTCGGTCTTAAGCTGGCCAAAGGCTCTCTCCACTAGGTATAAAAGTCGCTCGCGCCAATATATCATCTTCTCTATCTTCTCCTTCCCCACTTGCTTGTTCGTGCTGCACCCTCTGTTGCTCTCTTCGATTATGCTTGCACTTGCTGTAACCCTATTCGTTTCCTCATTCACCACAGTAGGTTTCGGTCAGAACACCAATTTGACCGGCAATCGCACCCCCACATTCATTAACCCTTTCCTCGATGCTGTCGGGGTGGATAGCTTGACCTACAGCTTGGCCTTTCCCTTCACTAATGTTGACCGCAGGTGGGTATACAATGTGATGGGTACTACTGCATGACTTACACAACTAATGACAATATAACTCTTCTCCGAAGCCGGGTCCTTACGTACGTTGACTCCGGCAACCCCCCTTCCAATCTGGGTTTACCCTGTCCGCTGCAATCTGCAGAAGAGTGGGTTTGGGTCTGAGGCGGCGAAGGTACAACAGCCCCAGAAGCCTTGCTTATGTGGTTTGCTATTGAGCCCTCGTAAATTCTGCGATGAGTTGAGAATTCTATTCTCTGATAACGATACAGGGACTGGCACAGTGCAGAAAAGAGACTCCTCTTCCAACCTCTAAAGGACATGAACTACTCGACCGACATATGGGGCCCAGAGCTCCATGGAAACTGGTATGCCATTTTCACCGCCGACCCAAACCATGACTCCCCACCTCCGGAAGTGGACATGTACTATGAAGAGAGCTGTCCCGCAGTACATCACCGGATGTTTGTGTTCGAAGGCCTGGGATCAGATCCATGGGTGGCAAATTTCAGCTTCAAGGCACAGTTGAACACTTATGACCAGTTCCCTATTGATGGTACATACCTTCAACACAAGAGTGGGTTGTATCACGTGTACAACTGCTGGTACCGAGAATTCGATGGCTGGCCAGCGAATCTTTACATCACCAAGAGTATGCTGCAACTCCAAGTCACTAGATCAAAGGCTGGCGCCCGACCTAGTGTCGGATCCCTGGACTATTGGCACCAATCTTTCTCAACTCCAAATCCTCTTCGTTCCTACCAACCCCTAAGAAAAGACGCCATATGGCCGTCCGCTCAACGCCCGTCTCTCCTCCAACGAAGCCACACAGAAACTCACCAACCGTTCTACTAGCTAGACATTCATCATATACTCCGCTACCCGGTCCGACAGCCGCAACTACTGCCTAGGTCAACCCGAACCGTTAGGTGGCGACCCAATGAACATCCAGGATTAGGGGAAACACGACGATGGGTGTGTCTTTTTTACCGGAATACTAAGGAAGAAGCATATGGAGTTGGGCATGCAAGTTTCACCCAAGAGTCCTGACGGAAGAGAGGATTGGATAGTGTATCATGGGATGCAGGATCTATCGAATGGATGGGTAGCGAGAACTATGCGAACGCAGAAATTCACCTAGAATATAGATGAGACACCTAAGTTACTAGGGCCTGGGCATGGACCTTATTCAGTGCCTTCTGGACAGCGCTAAAGGTATCATATCCACAAGATTGTTATCAATAGAGAATAGTAGGGTCTCAATGGTTCCTTGTGAATACCCCCAGTCCTCTTGTAGGAGACTAGCGCATGCAGTCTAAAATTATCGGATGACCACTATGCTTATATTCCAAAGCTAAAAATGTAGGACCAATGATTGTAGACTGAAATGTCAGGTTAGGACTCTGGAGATTCGGAGCAGCGGAGTAAGGACATCGAAGAAATAGCGAAGTTCCCTGGCATTTTTTAGGACAAATGTGTATAAACCCTATAGCTCTAGAATCAGAACGGGCAGTAGGCACAAAATGCGACGACAGGAGATATCAGACAGCTAACTTTCTCTTCATAGTGCCACGAAGCCTATGCTTCTCTGTGGCTTCCTGGATCTTAAGCTTCCTCCAAGTACATGTCTCTGCAAAATCACACACCTTGCACTTGTACGCTTCCTCGATTTCCACACCTTTAGCTTCTCGTTCCCCTTTCCACCAGCTCAGTTCTTCTAATGTATATTTTTCTATGACTGACGCATCATAAATAGTAAACTCACTGCCGATAAGTTCACCGGTTTTAGACGAGCGAAACTCGGCGCGGAGGACGTCGCTGAAAGTGTCAATAGACCTTCCAAACTCAGATATCATCAAACTCCAGAGAGCGGACAAATTCCCGTGGCACTCAATTTCCGATGCCTGTAGGATACCGAAAGCGTTCTTACCCTCCGGAATGGTCTCTAGAGTGCCTAGGCTGCCCACCTCAAGCATGAAAACTTCAGTAAAAGGCTCCAGTGGGTCGAGGCCGTACCGCCCAAATACCGTCTCTCCATCCACTACATTGAGCGCCAAATCTTCAAGTAATTTTCGGTAAAGCATCAACTGCATCCAGGTTGGCCGAAGGGACGTTCTTGCTGGGACGGATTTCCCTCCGCGTGTCTTGATGTCCGCGATGTATACCAATCGTTCGGGCTTCAATGAGCCGACCCAAGCGCTCGGATTATTACCGCTGTTATTGAAACCCTGCGCGATGCTGGGCCGGCCAAGAGGAAGCGTACCACCTGCTTTCTCGACCTTTGACTTTTCCGGGGATTCCTCGAGATCTGTATCTGGGCACATGTACGATATTTCATCAATGATACCGTTCACGACTTGGCCACCAATGATGCCCCAAACTTCCAATTCGCGCGTCAAGCCGGTTTCCTTAAGCGTCCGGAGTCCTTGTATCGTGTTCCATATTTTCAACCCAAATCTGTCTTCCTTGGACTTGACCTGGACCCACCTGATCTCGTGCACTTGCTCTTCCAAGACTCTATGCACTTCAGAGCCTTTCTTCATCGCCGTCGTTCGCGGCTTCCGCCCGAATTTGGTGAGGATGTACCAGTATTGGAGTTCGCACCAAGCTGGCGACACCAGGTCTGTTACTGACAGGGGTTTCATGGGCTGCGTCCGAAAACGCTCGAGAGGGGATCGAGTGTCGTCTTCAGTGTCACCTTTGGACTGCCCCGGGTTAGCTTTTGCTAGCTCAGTTTGCTCATCAGGCCGAGCATCTTCCTTCGGCACTAAGCGCTGTCAGTAGGTCAGTCGGGTAAGCGCGCATCAGGCATATGTAGGAGGGGCTTTACCACTCCAAGCTTTGCTCGAGAGGCTGTCGTACTCGACCTCGACCAAAGGGCGGCGTGAAAATGGGCGGTCCAGGCATTCCCCCACCTGGGCCTCATTGCCCTCTATTGTTGGAGCTGTAGCGGCGATTTGTGTGAGCAGATTGCCAATGAGTGCCGCTTCCTCAAGGTCGAACTCCGAGCCATATTTACTCTGCGCAGGGCTCAGGCTGATGTCGGAACCATAGTCACTAGCACTGTCGGTGTGCAACTGAGGTGCTGTCGTGGGGTCCATGCCATATTTTACTCGTCCAGACGCAGCCTGCTGGAGAGCAGTATTACAGTGTTGTCGGCATGGCGCGCTATCACAAATCACCGAATCACCGAATCGCCGTCTTCGCCAAACAACCCGCATCGCGAGATTTTAATGATAATTCCTTGCTCTGAAGAACTTTCTCAGACTTTCTCAAAAATTCGGAATCCCATCTGCGCACTTTGCAGGCTTGGGCTTCACCCACTTTATTACACTCTCCCTATTGCGGAATTCACAGTGCTGTACCATCTCGTCCCGCTTTCCGCCAGGCGATTCCAGGCGCCTCGCCGCTTTCCCAACTTGTGCGTAGAGCACAGGGTTCACGGACTCAACACGTGCCAGAAACTGGAGACTTTGAGACACCACCTTGCATTTCTCTCGCGGTCTTGGTCAACGATTTCGACGCATCCCAATGCTTCCAACTAGTGTTTCTTTGCCTCCTAGTCGCTGTGTGAAAGGGCAACGAAGTGAATTTTTTCGATATTGAGCTGCATTTATACAAAGAGATAGCAAGGTTTCCTCCGTAGCTATGCTAGGTTAGCACATCACCCATCTCTCAGACAGGAAAAAGCCCTCATATGGATAACCGCAGTGCCGTAGAATGTGGATATGCAGCCGCTGGACATGCCGCACTTTTTGACCAGACATCCATGATTGAACATGTCTGCCAGGACATTGTAAATATACTTGGATAAAGCGATGGGAAATGGAAGATACTTCCCGTACTGAAGAGGCATCAGAGTTGTTCAATAATGATTTCAGATTCGCCTGGTATGCGAGGTATGTTGGCTTCGAGTGGTCAGTTCCTCGACGATGCCCACATCATCCAATTCCAACCCCAAAAAAACCGCCTCAGTATTGGTCAAACATCGTTTCATAGGAATAGACAACCATGGGAAGAGGGAAGAATACTCCAACACGACCAAAAGGCATAAAGACGGTCAGTAAAGTCCTCACATTCAACCTATGACAACAGGCAAAGATAATGTGAAGTAGATCGACTTTCGTCAATTCATGGTCAGTGACTGTCACTGATTATGGGATATACATCGCACTGCACCACTCCCGGTGCACCATAAAACCCAAATAACCGTGATCCTTATTGAAATAGAACCCAAACGCCAATGGAGACCCAACCCATCATGTACGAATCGCACTGCACATGGGGGACTTGTCGATGCTCATGCCAGTGAGAGAAAGAGGCGAGGTACTTAACCACGCTCACCGCGGAGGCGACGAGCAAGTTGGATGTCCTTGGATTCTACAAACAAAAAGATTAGCATACTGGTCAGACCGTACAAGTTTGATGAGACATACGGATAGTGACACGCTTAGCGTGAATGGCGCAAAGGTTGGTGTCCTCAAAGAGGGAGACGAGGTAGGCCTCAACAGACTCCTGGAGAGCGCCGATGGCAGAAGACTGGAAGCGCAAGTCCGACTTGAAGTCCTGGGCGATCTCACGGACGAGACGTTGGAAGGGCAGTTTGCGGATCAAGAGCTCGGTCGACTTCTGGTAGCGACGGATCTCACGCAGAGCGACAGTACCAGGTTTATACCTGTGGGGCTTCTTGACACCACCAGTAGATGGGGCAGACTTGCGGGCTGCCTTGGAGGCGAGCTGTTTACGAGGAGCCTTGCCACCAGTGGACTTGCCTGTAAGAGGATTAGCAATGATAGAAAAGTGAGGGGTTTGTCGAAGCCCGGGCAGGGTAGATGCAAATCGGTGAGTGTTGCGACAAGCGAAATCGCGGGCGGCAACAACACCAAAAAGGCCTGCGCGGCAATAAATCTGCAATGAAAAGGTACTAATAAATTACTCACGGGCAGTTTGCTTGGTGCGGGCCATTGTTGATGGATGAAGTGATGAAGTTGATGATGTGGAGTGTGGATGATGTGGTTGGTTGTGGCTGTCGAAGTGTTGTGGGAGAGTGGTGAAAGAGAGACGGAGAAAGTGGGCGGCGGGCGATACTTATGGGCGGCGCGGGGGGTGCTGCCTGCCGGATCACAATTGTTGTGATTTAGCGCGCGAGTTTGGGGGGCAAGTTTGGGCGTCTCAGTTCCAGCAACTGCAAAATCAAAATTGAGCGGGCAAGACTGGGCCGTGCGCGCCATCCTTTCAGCATTGTGATCTGGGCAGCCGCAGAGGCAAGCGAGCGCGTCCGACCGCCCAGCGTGATCCGAAGTTGATCCGGCATTGTTGATCTTCGCGAACACCAAACACGCGTCTCTCTTAAAGTAGCCTGCTTCCCCAACCTCTGGCAAACCATCAGCTCTCGATACCGCGACACTCTCACTCCCTGCACTCCACTAAACCACCATCTCACTTTCAACTTCACTTTTAATCCATCAACATGACTGGACGTAAGTCTACCCCATACCCCTATCCCTCTATCCTTCTTGGCGCCATTGAGACACCTCGTCGCGTTTTGCAGTGCATTCCGCCTCTCGCAGCATTCACTGACGTACTTTCTACAGGTGGCAAAGGTGGCAAGGGCCTTGGCAAAGGTGGTGCCAAGCGCCACCGAAAGATTCTTCGTGACAACATCCAGGGCATCACCAAGCCTGCTATCCGACGTCTCGCCCGTCGTGGTGGTGTGAAGCGTATTTCCGCAATGATTTATGAGGAGACCCGTGGTGTCCTAAAGACTTTCCTTGAGGGTGTCATCCGAGACGCTGTCACCTACACTGAGCACGCCAAGCGCAAGACTGTCACTTCCCTCGACGTCGTCTACGCGCTCAAGCGACAAGGACGTGAGTTGCCTCGCTAGTTAATCCCTTCTAGTTTGTCTGACATGTCACAGGTACTCTCTATGGTTTTGGTGGTTAGATTCGCTTTTGCCTTTCATGTTTTGTAACGACTCTCGATCGACTTTGCGACCTCGGGATCAATGGTCTCTTCTGGTGCTGGCTGGGACGGGCTTGAGGGGTTTTTGCCTATTGTATCATGGGCTTAGGAGTTTACGGTTTAGGATTAGTCATGGAATATGATACCAGAATAATTCTTCAGTTTCCTCGCTGTTTTGCCCTCGTGATATGTTCTTGACCGTAGTAGCCTCACTTATATTTCAAGAGGTGTGACCTCTAGGCTCTTGTTTTGTACTCTTGTGGGTTGTTCGAGTAACTAGTCCTTTGTGTACAGTTGTGCTAGAGGACACCAAGCGGTGGGTTCTCTCTTCGTGCCACCACTAGCGCGTCTCCATAGATCCTGGTCGCCCGTAGTGCTCCCTTTTGCTCAGGTTCTAGTTAGCTTGTTTCCGTCTTTGTTATTCTCTCAACTTTTGGCGATCAACTTGGGGCTTTTTTAAGTACACTGATGCCCGAATGATTGCATAAGAGGAATCTTAGAACAATAGGAGGACACTATGTTGAAATTGTGAGCTAAATCATCCTTCCCCATTGATTTTCCATGGTTTCCACGCACGTCACCTCTTTTCATATGTCTCTGTGAGCGATTCGACGCTCGCTCTCTCTTTATTCACGCTATTCTCGGAGTTGCAGCCTACTGTCATGCACTTCCGACCCGTTCCGAACGACCTCCCTTCTCCAATTCCACTCGCCCACCGCCCTTCGCCTCAAAACTGTTCGGAGGCATTAGCATGGCTTTACTTCAATCTCCGAAGGCTTTGCTATTTGACGCATTCGGCATCTGTGTCGATTGGAGGAGGACTGTTACCAACTCCCTTTACGCACATGCTCACGCCTCGCTGAATTCAGCCACTGCATCAGTAGTAAACTCCGTTCGCATGATAGCATCCCCCATGATGCTCAAGGGCTGGGGCGTATTTTCCAGCAGTGGCGAAACTCCTATAAGAAGTTCACGAAATCAGTAGCCAATGATCCAGCTTTGCCTTGGAAAACAGTTGATGGACATCACTTAGAAACACTCGAGCAGCTATTGTCTGAGTGGAACTTGGACGGGCTTTGGATAGATGATGAAGTCCGTATGATGAGCCTGATTTGGCATCGATTGGAGCCCTGGCCGGATTCTGCTCCCGGTATCAAAGTCTTGAACAAGCTACCCTACACGGTGACTTTGAGCAACGGCAACCTCAGCCTCCTTTCTGACCTAAAAAGTTACGGCTCAATGGACTTCACCCGCACTTTCAGTGCCGAGCAGTTCGAATCGTACAAACCTTCTCCCAGCGTGTACTTAGGGGAGGTTGAAAAACTTGGTTTAAAGCCCCCGGAGTGTGCCATGGTAGCCGCCCATTTGACTTACTTGAAGGCCGCGAAATCTCACGGGCTCCAGGCAATTTATATTGAAAGGTCACTGGAGGAGGATTGGAGCTCGGAGGAAATTGAAGTAGCCAAGACTGAGGGCCGGGTCGATCTCTGGATTCCGATAGATCAGGCAGGATTTATGACTGTGGCCGAGAGCCTAGGAGTTGATATCGCATCACATGTGCAGATGAAGCGGTGGTCTCCTAACGGGAACACGCTCAATAAAGGGTTTTTTAGATGGTATTCTTAAGGCTCAAATAAAACGATCAGGTTCTAATAAAGATATCCTATTGCTCTATCTCACTTTCTTGTTGCCGATCTCGTTGATACGGTTCCCTGAACCTGTGGATGCCTCTTTCATTGTTGTGTGTACCCTCTGTGTTTGATTCTCTTCGCCTTTCCTGCGGTTGATACTATATCCAATAGGAGGGTGGGGTGAGTCTAGAGGGTGGCCTATTCTTCGCTCAGTATAACTCTTTGTCGGCTCGCTCGTGGGTGTGCCCTCCCTCGTATTGCCTTCCATAAATTACTGCCTGCAAGTATTTGCAATAGAAATTAGCTAAGACTTGCTATAGGGCAGGATTATTTTCCATGATATGCGACAATACATTGTGTATCTATGGGCTCTAGGCAGTCTCTAGCTTACAATGCTCCAGGCTATTGTTGTTGTATCTGTTTTTCAAACTAACGTACATCAAGAGTCTCCAGACTGTCCAGCCACCAAAATGTATCATCTTAGCCACACCCCCTTATTTTCGCAATATTTGATCTTTATTACTTTTACTTTAGTTACTTTCTGTGATCTATCCATGGTGTGGCTCTATTATTCCCGTTTATTGTAAGATGATATATTTTCTATTCGCATGCTTGTCCAACATCACGCGGAGATGTTTATGGAACACGGTTGAAGGACCCCATGTTGTAGTAGGTATGAACGTTTAAAATTACAAGTTAAACGGACCCGCAAATGCTCTGCAACGGCTCTGGAGTAGCATCTGGAGATATAAGTCCAACTAACCGAGGACAGAGAGTCTTCAGAAAAATACACTCAGCCACTAGGACGCCGGAGTTGCCGGGTAAGTTTGGGTAAGGGGAAGCCAACCAAATTCTAACATTCACAGGAGTGGCGAATTCACGTGTAATACACTAAAATGGGTGGAAGGAAGAGTCCCAATCCAGAATTTCCCACCCCCATTATCATCATTATATGAGGCGATTATCTCACCATTCCCTCGTGGTCGCCTCGTGGTCGCTCGTGTCCCCAGGTTTGCAGCTCGGCCAAGGCCACCCTTGCGGGGTGGCTAGCGTTCCCCAGGTCCGAAACCAAACACCCTCGGCGAGCGTCATGCCTCAAACCCCGTCTGGCCGGTTTCCTTGCCGACATTGCATATATATCCGACTACGACTGGATTCCTGCACCGGCAATTTTAAACTCATTTTCCCACACTTATCGTGTCTTGTCTCGGACATCCTACTGTAACAGATCCTAAGTCTGCGGTCTGTTACTATTCGTTAAACCGTCTTCTATTATACTAGTCCAACCTGCATCATGCCTGAACCTCATATTCAGGACAAGGTGTACAAGCGATCGCTGGAGGACCCCGAAGCTTTCTGGACTGCCCAGGCAGATCAACTGCAATGGCACAAGAAGCCAGACCGAGCGCTACAAAGGACTACTAAGACCCTGAAAAGCGGAGTAAAACATGATCATTGGACCTGGTTCCCGGGAGGCGAGATTTCTACAACATATAACTGTATCGACAGACATGTCCTGAGCGGCAATGGCAACACAGTTGCCATCTGCTGGGATAGCCCCGTTACTGGCTTGAAAGAGCAATATACGTACAAGCAACTCCTCGAGGAAGTCGAGACGCTCGCCGGCGTCCTGCGAGAAGAAGGCGTGAAAAAGGGAGACGTCGTTCTGATCTACAGTGAGTCTCATTTATGTTGTTAAATGTCAAGACAAACAAGATAACGATTGATAGTGCCAATGATCCCCGCAGCCCTTTTTGCTATGCTTGCCATTGCCCGACTTGGCGCTATTCACGCTGTCGTCTTTGGGGGGTTCTCCCCAGCCTCGCTTGCCCAGCGCATGGAAGCCTCCAGACCAAAAGCCGTAATGACTGCATCATGTGGCATCGAAGGCAACAAGGGCCCAATGGGATACAAGAAGCTCCTCGAAGAAGCTATCCGGACGAGTAGCTTCAAGCCTTCAAAGGTTATTGTTTGGCAGCGCGAGCAACTTCGATGGGAGCCCGTGGTCAAAGAGGATGGCCAACGGAACTGGCAAAGACTAGTCAAGAGTGCGAAGGATAGAAGGCTGAAAGCGGCAGCTGTTCCAGTGAAGAGCTCAGACGCATTATACATTATCTACACTAGTGGTGAGAAGTCCGCGCACCCCCTAAAGATTTCCCCTGCTGATGATTTCTAGGAACGACGGGATTGCCAAAGGGCGTTGTCCGCGAAGCCGGGGGACACGTTGTTGGTCTCAACCTCTCAATTAAACAAATTTTTGGAGTCCACGGCCCTGGAGATGTTATGTTTACCGCCTCAGATATTGGGTGGGTCGTCGGGCATTCTTACATTGTGTATGCACCACTCCTTGCCGGTGCTACAACCGTGCTCTTTGAGGGAAAACCGGTTGGTACTCCCGACGCTAGTACTTTCTGGAGAATTATCGAAGAGTACAAAGTTACGACCATGTTTACCGCGCCCACGGCGCTACGAGCGATTCGTCGTGAAGACGGTGACAACGACTACTTCGAGCAAATCTACGGCAACCGAGGAGGACTTAGGACATTACGAGCGCTTTTCTTGGCAGGCGAACGGAGCGAACCAAGCATTGTTCAAATGTACCAAAAACTACTCAGCAAGCACTGTGCGGGCGGCGCAGTAGTTATCGACAACTGGTGGTCATCAGAATCTGGTAGTCCCATCTCGGCTATAGCTCTGAGCGCTGCAGCTGGAGAGAATTTCGGCAGTGCACATCGCCACCAGCCGCTCCAGGTGAAGCCCGGCTCCGCTGGAAAGGCAGCGCCCGGGTTTGATGTGAGGATTGTAGATGATGAGGGGAATGAACTGAAGCCAGGATCCATGGGAAACATTGTCATGGGTATGCCTCTTGCGCCAACGGCATTTACGACTCTATGGGAAGATGAAGACAGATTCTATAGAGGATACTTGAAGCGCTTCAACGGGAAATGGATTGATACTGGCGATGCAGGCATGATTGATAGAGATGGGTACATCTCGATCATGTCAAGATCTGACGACATCATCAATGTTGCCGCTCATCGATTCAGCACAGGTGAGTTGTTGTATCCCGCCCTTCCACCCACTGCACATGCTGATGCTGGACAGGGGCGATCGAGCAAGCAGTGACCTCACACCCAGACATTGCGGAGGCTGCTGTGGTTGGCATCCCAGACTCGTTGAAAGGACACCTCCCCTTTGCCTTCATTACACTATCAACACATCACCACCCCCACCCTGCTGTCCCAGACGACAAACTCTTTAAGGAAGTCCAACTGCTGGTCCGACAGCAGATCGGGGCAATTGCTAGTCTGGGAGGGATGATCCAGGGCAAAGGCATGATCCCAAAGACAAGGAGCGGGAAAACACTTCGCCGTGTTTTGAGGGAGTTGATAGAGAACGCAACTGACGGTGAATTCGAGAAAGAGGTGCAAGTACCTACAACCATTGAAGATGCCGAGGCTATTGAAGTTGCGAAGGCAAAGATCAAAGAGTATTTCAGGCACAAAGGAAAGGATCTCCACAAGGCTCCGGAGACGAAAGCGAAATTGTAAGAATGGTTGTATATTATCTTCCATTTCTGGCGGCTTACACCGGCATTCATTGGTTGGTTGGGAGGACTTCTAACTTGCCTGTATGAGTATGCAAGGCTTCTACAGCAATCATAAATCGCGACCGAGTTTTGCTTCATGCTTGTGAAGACTAAACGCCGATTGATGATGCCAGAATCGGTTCGAGAAATGTGTGTTGTAAGAGTGGGCGTGGCTGCGGTCGCTCACATTGTACCCGAACTGAGCAGCCGGTTCAATTCCTTCCATGCCCTGGTCATAACGGCCCGTCTCCCGTCCGGGTGGCAGAAAATCTCCAGCTTGTGCGTCGTGATTCTAACGTCTTCCACCATCTAGCTCTCTTAAGGAGCGAAGTCACTCTCAACATTAGACAGGATTGCAATCCAACACCACTTTTAATAGAACTTCTATCTCTGTTTCCATCTCCATCATCACGTGTTCAACATTATCTGCGGGCTATTGCAGTAGGTTTATCGTTCTGCAGAATGGCTTTTGGGCCTAACCTGGAATCAAGGACGCACGTAGGCGTCCGCTCAGCTGGAATTCCTTGCTAGTAAAGTCTGCTAGGATGTTGCGGAGTAGCGGCTAATCTGGCCTTGAGCCGGCCGGATAGTGTGTCGTGAGGCAGCGGACCTAGAGGAATCACCAGTTTTGAAGCGTGCAACACGCCTAGACGGCACCAGGTCCCTTGCAGTAGCAGCAGGTCATCAAGGCTGTTGAGCCTTGCCCAAAGGCGTCGTCCAGCTTATCTTAGGTCCTTATGGAAGACAGAAAAGAGGTCTCAGTGGTGCCAAGGACGCCGTCGGCCCCATTTGAGGAGGCTTGTCCACACCCGCGAAATGCACAGACACTCGTTTTTGGTAAAAACGAAACTTCTCGTACAGGCAGCGAAATCGAGCAATAGACAAATGTTGGCCGCAATAAAACAAGTGGGTACACATTAATATCTTGAAGCATTTGAAGAGTGCTGCAAAGAAGTCGTCTATACATACACACAGGACGACGAGCGGCTCTGTTGCGCTCGACATTCAAATTCACTCCAGAGCAGCACCGGAGGCTTGTGTGCAGAGTCGCCGAAGGTTCCCAACACGACTCCTGCACGAAACCGAGTCTTGGCCACGGCTAGCGAGGGCAGCCTCTGCTCCGTGGTTTGTGACAGAGCTTGGCCCTGGCGTCGAATCAACAAGGCCAGAGATGCGATCGCTTCCCCGAGGCAGCGGTGCCAGTGACTGTGGTAAAACCAACACCACCAGCGGGCGGAGTGTTACGGGCGCAGTCAAGTCAGGCTAGGCAAGCTGGCAACTTGCAAGAGCCAGGACGGGGGCCGTGTGGCTTTTGGCGGGGAGAGTCTGCATCTGGGTGGTTGCATGGCCGCCGGGAGTGTTCCGAAACACCTGCCAGCATACGGCATGAGTTTCCATGTCGGCCGGCTGTCGTCCTCTGTGGACGATTCCAAGGCTCCAACAAAGGGGACGAGTGTGCACACAAAAGTGTCACTGGGAGCGGTGGCACAGAGGGCTTGACGAGAGCGTCACGGCAGCGACACAGACAGTAGCATTCAGACTTCACGACAGCGCACCGGCCGCTTTCGACACAGGCGGGCGGACAGCAGACCTGAGGCGACGGCGGCACACAGCTGGTGGTATTGGTAGAGGTGGTGCTGGTAGTGGTGCTGGTAGCGGTGGTGTTCTTGCTTGTCTCCTAGAACAGCCAAGCCAAACGAGCGAGAGCGTTGGAGCATGGAGCGAGCAGCGACCGGGATTTGACTGCCTACAGTGCCTGCTTGCCCCCAACTGCCCCAGCTAAACCCCCCTTCCCGCCTTTCTATCTCCCTCGCCAGACTTGCTTTTCACCCCTTGCTCACCCTCTGCCATCGCACACCCCACGCCTGCTGATACCGCCAGTCGTCGGAGCGAGCGCAGCAGCAGAGCCTGACGACGCCTGAGAGATACAACACCAGCGCCTAGGAGTCCCCACAACCGGCGTCCTCGAGCAGACATCTTTGCTGCTCACTGACCAGACAGCCTTCACGTGGGAAACACGAGCCAGCCCGCACACCCTCACCCAGAATCTACCATCCACTACCCATCATCGTTCATCATCCGCCATCCATCGGCGCCGCTACTCTGCTCCTGCTGCCTCCATTGCCTGCTGCCGCCCGCTGCCCGCGTCCCTTCTCGTCGTGCTGCTTCCTGCTCCGCTACCTTTGCCTGAACCATACCGGCTATTGCTGCTTCGCTGCTGCCGCCGCTCTCCAGCCTGCCGACCACGACGTGCGTTTGTGCAACCCTGTGCTCTGTCCCTCCCCGCTCGCTGAAGTGGCTGTCCGATCGATTCTGAACCGCCTGCAGTTACCCGCAACACGCGCAAGCTGTGCTCTCTCCCCTCGACACGTTTTGGGTGACGACTCACATCCCTTGTGGGTTCTTCGTCCCCCCCAATTCCTCCCGATCCTACTCTGCAAGTAAGCTGAGGACTGCTGGTCAGCTGCTCCCGCTGCGCTTCACGAGACGAGCCTGCTACTACGTGGCTCGCTGGTTGCGTTACCCTAGCCCCAACCCCGAGCAGTCCATCCAGCCCCCTGGTGACGGCCCTTTGTTTTCTTAACTCCCTTCCCAAGCCCGTGGTTCGCTTTCTGCCTGCTACTGCATACGACTCCGCCCGGATCTTTACAATCCTAAGAGATCGACAATATGGCGGGGAAGATGACTCTATATAAGCTGGTAGTGCTTGGAGATGGCGGCGTGGGCAAGACGGCCTTGACCATTCAGGTACGCTGCCCTGTGCATCATATCAGCTTTAGCGTGACTAACCCATGGTCTAGCTGTGCTTGAACCACTTCGTCGAGACGTACGATCCTACCATTGAGGACTCTTATCGCAAGCAAGTCCAGATTGACGGTCAGTCGTGCATGCTCGAGGTGCTCGACACCGCGGGACAAGAAGAGTATATCGCACTACGAGACCAGTGGATAAGAGATGGAGAGGGGTTCGTGTTGGTGTACAGTATCTCATCGCGCTCGTCGTTCGCCCGCATCCAGAAGTTCCACCACCAAATCCAGCGTGTCAAGGAGACATCGCTCTCGGGTTCCCCCACATATCCCGGCTCACCCCTCAGTGTGGCATCTGTTGGCTCCGGATCCTTTGGTCCTGCGCCTGTAATGCTGGTTGGAAATAAATGTGACCGAGTTACTGAGCGCGAGGTCTCAATTCAAGAAGGCAGCGCTCTGGCAAAGGAGCTGGGCTGCGATTTTGTCGAAGCATCTGCCAAGAACTGTGTAAATGTTGAGAAGGCTTTCTATGAAGTCGTAAGACAACTAAGGCGACAACGACACCAATCCGTCGGTAGGAGTGAGAAGTCTCAAAAGAACCGTCACCAACAAGTGTCTGGAAACAGGGGTGGTTACCCTAATGGTTCATACTATCGCGACGATAAGAGCCGTAATCGCGCTGGGGATCGAAGGAGGCCAAAAGACAAGCCCAAGTGTGTCATTCTTTAACCAATAACGCCCCCACGTTCGCCAGCCGATTAGGAAACACAACGGCCGTTACCACAACTCGACTCTAGCCGTCCAATTTAATCCCATCTGGGCTGACAAGTCGGTACCCAATTTCAGGCATGGGAACCTCGACCTGCTTCTTCTTGGGCCCTTAGGTGCTCGCTATCTTCCCATCATAAATACTTTTCACTTCTGGCTCAGCATCACGATCGTCGCTGCAGTTATCTTACAGTATCACCCTTTATCATTAACGAGCCACGATCCGCGCTTCATCGGCGATATCTTTAATCAAGAAGAGCCTGAGCGATGGGATGATAGAATCACGAGGCGTAGGCATGGAGTGGCGTTACCTTTTGAATGCACGGGAGCATTAGTGGTCTTTGGCATGACCAAGGAGGCGTTTTTTTGGAGTACCTGTTTTGGATGAAGATTGACAAGACCTCTGGATCTTGTATGACAACGAAGACGAGAGGGTTTTGAAACATTCTGGGCGCGGAATGGGGACAGGTTAGCCATCTCTTCGCTCTTCGCTCTTCGTTATTTTTAACTATGAGGGTTTGATACGCCTTGACAACAGCACAAAAAGTATAGGATCTCTGGATCATGTTCTGCTTTGGATGGTGAGATATGTTTTGTTTTAGGGTTGGATAGGTCTTGCTATATCAAGTTAAAACCTCTTGCATTTAGGCGACTCTTAGTTGAAGCTAGAGAAGAAATGCTCTTGTTAAGACAATATTTTTTAAATACCTATCTAGTATGCTTTCTATAGAGAATCTTAAGATACTTAGGTATATATATATACATTTTTCTAACTATAACTATAGTATTAGTTTTAATACTATATTTAATACTATATTTAGAGTTGCTAGAAGCTTAAAATGTTTTTACAATTTTAAAAGCAGAGTTCACGTATTCTACTGTTAAGTTAGTACCTCACCTAACAGTAGGATTACTTCTATGCTATAGGCGGTGACTGTAGTCAGGGGAAAGAAGGAATGTTAGAATGGAAAGAGTAGTTGAATAATTATCTAGCCTTAACTAGGTAGTAGAATTATTGTAACAAGGTAGGCACAGTTAACCACGTGGCCTTCTCTCGCTTATAGAGGTTTAGGCTAGACTAGAGGCAACCGCTAGTGTTAGTGCTAGCCTTAGCATTATCTATATATATATTATACTATGCGAGAAATACTTAGCTTAAGTATTCTCGTGCGTACCTTTTAGTGCAGTGGGAAAATGTTACGGTCTACGGTTGGACCAGCGTAACCCCACCAGCAGTGCTCCACAATCTAGCTGGATTAGGACAGGGCTCGCTTACAAACCAGTCAGAGGACACGGGGGCAGCGCAGCTGCCTACAATAGTTAAAGAGTGCCTTGTCTAATAGGAAGACAGGCCGCGAATTTAGAGAGCTTAAGGGAGCTTAAGAGAGCCTGCAGGAGCCTTCTTAGTAAGCTCTTATAAACTCCTAACAGCTCCTCTTAGCGTCCCTAAGACATGTATATAGTTGTACTATAAACTACTTTTTAGAAAGTGTGTTTAATGTTTAGTTTATTTTTTACATAGACTAAGTAGCATTTAGCTTTCTAAAGAGCTATAATACTATTTATATATCTTACACTATATATACCTCTAACCCTGTCCACTAGGACTGTTTAACCCTAGCCTCTCTACTGCCGCACATAGGGCAAACTATAATCTAGTTATTCTAAATTATCCTCTATTAGCCTAATAGCCTGTACGTAGGACTGTACACCCTACTAGTTAGCCCCTATTACCTGTCTTATTTCCCCTCTAGAAATATTATTAGACCTAAGTGCTTCTCTAAAGCAAGAATTATAACATTAAACACTACCTTTTTTTAAAAAGTAGAAATACTTTATAACATAATCTAGATTTTAACATAGCCTACACTATGCTATTAAGATCTATAGAAGTTTCTACCTAAAGCAAAGCTATTCTAGCAGAACAGATTAATTTAATCTAGAACAACATAAAAAGACTTTAGTAAATTAGTAATAAAGTTAGTAAGTTACTAAAACTTAAATAAGAAATTACTAACCTTTACTAAAAAGTAGTAGAATTATAAAACTTTTTTAAAACTTTAAGCCTCTAGGAAGCTACTAACTAAGCCTACTAGATACATAAACTATAAGTAAAGTTAGTAAAGATCTAAAACATTTTAATAAAAAAGGCAAGTATTATAGCTAAAAAGACTTTAAGACTAGCCTTTTTAAAGCTCTTTAAAAAATTATTAAAAGACCTTTAACTATTTTTTATAAAATGTTACTTTTATATGTAATATAATAAAGAAGCATTCTAAACTAATGTAAAAATAATATTTTAAATAGAACTACACCTAAAAGGCCCTTTTATAATCTAGTTCTAACTCTATGCAGATAATTAGATAAACTTTAGAGTAAATAGTAAAGCACTTACTTTTAAAATAAAAGAAATATTTAGCAGCATTAAAATTTTTAAAGAAGCTTTAATAGCTATTTATAAAACTTTTAATAAAAAGAAAATTATAGCTAACAAGTTAGACACTATAAAACAAAGAACTAGCCTAGTCTAGAATTATGCAGCACACTTTAAAGAGCAGCTAGCCATCTGTAGATAGACAGACTAGAAGGCCCTCTGCTGCATGTTCTATAATAGACTAAGTAAGATAGTAAAAGATAAATTTATACACAGTAAAAAACTAACTACTCTTAAAATTTTTATTATGTAAGTAACAACTTATAATAACTATTATAGGAAACATAAAAAAAAATAAATAAATAAACTCTTTAAAAACTAGAGTTTATTTCTAAGAAGAAAAAGCTTTTATAATATAATAAAAAACTAATAAACCTTAGTTATATAAAGCATATATAAAGCTCTCTCTTTAAAAAGAGCTAAGTTTTAAGACATAATAGGCTGCCTTTAACAAAAAAATAATAAAAGTAGTTAGAGAACAAGGCCTGCCTAAACTATAAAAAAGTAGAACATTTCTGCTAAAATTGCCTAGACTTTTAAAAGAGGGAGAATAAAAATACTACTGCAATAATAAAAGCTATTACTACTAAATACAGCCTTATAAATAAGGAAATATTAAAAAGACTAAATAATAGACTTTACTAGTAATGCAGAGAAAACTATTCTTTAAATAACTATTCTAAAGTGTATTAGAAAGTAGTTATTTAAAACTTTAGTAGACTAAATATAGTGTTATAAGACCTTATAATTCTAAAAAGACATAGAGAAGAGACTTAAATCTAAAAATATATTATAAACATTTAAAAAAAAGAAAAATAGTTCTCTTTTTAAGACTAAACTTTTAGCACTTTAGCAAAAAAGCTTTCTTAATAGTTTTAGAAATATAAATGCTAAAAGTGCAGTTTATAACATAACTACCTAGGTTATTACATAGTTATGCTTTACTAAATAAATATTAGCAATAACTACCTTATATTTAACATTATAAGGCGTATAGCTAAAGTTAAATATAATATTATAAATAAAAAAAAGTAATAGCAGTTTTTTATAAAAATCTAAGATTAGAAACTAAAAGGACTAGGCAGGCCTACTAAGTTTAAAGTCCTAAAGCTAGTACTTAGAAAGCTAAAGATACTACTCCTAAGCCTTATAATTAGCAGGAAAGCCTTAGCAATGTAATAAAGCTATAGCTAATGCGCACTCTGCAGAAATAAAACCTACAGCACTAACATTTACTAATAAAAAAAGCACCCTGTTTAAATAGTACAAACACAGGAATACCTATAGTAGACTTAGAAAAGCTCTTTTAACATGTTACATAGACCTAATAATTATTTATACCCCTAGTACTAATGCACATAACAGTATTGCCTTAAGCATTAAGACAATAAGCATAGAACAGGCTAGTAGCCTATATAGAAAAAGAACTACAACAGATGCCTATAGTAAGGGACAGCCTTAGCCTACAAAACTATAAATTGCTACACCTGTTAAACAGCTCCCCTACATAAGCAGAAGGAATAAGTAGCATGTAAAGAATAAAATAACTATAAGTTCTACTATTTTTAGTAAAAAGCAGTAAGAAAAAAAGACTACTTAATATTATATTATCTAGTTAAAAATTATAAATATAAAGTAGCTAACTGCTATAATTAAGAACATTAAATCTATAAAAATAAAAAAAATAAGTTTAATAATAACTTATAAAACATTAACTCTTATTCTTTTTCTAATAAAGAAGTTAAACATAACATATTAGCAGTAATTATAGTAAGATAAAGGGCAAGACACAGCCTAACAACCACCTTTATGTACAAAGGGTGGCCTAGGCTAGCCCTTATAGACAGCAGATGCACCTTTACTATAATAGATAAAGATTAAGTAGATAAGTAAAGTATACTATTCTAAATAAAAAAAAACTTATTTAAAGTAACTCTTACTAACACATTATTAATTAAATATAGTAGAGGATAGATTAACCTAGAAACCTATAAGAAGGACTTTAAAACTCCTAACATAAAAGACTAGAGGTCTATAAATATACTCTAGCTAGGAGGCAAATATAATGTAATTTTAGGCTATAACTAGCTTAGAACTTATAATCCTGCAATTAATTAAAAAACTATAACTATAGAAACTCCTAACAACTATGCACATATAACCTAGTTAGCATGCTATAATAACTAATGCCTAGTCTACAAATAAGTAAAATAGGGTAGTAGTTACTACTCTAAGAAAAAAAAACTTTAGAAATTCTCTTACTAAAAACTAAAAGCTTAAGTAATAAGAATAATAAAAAAAAAACTTAAAAAAGTCTTTTATAAAAAAATTAACGTACCTAACGGGTTGGCTGGCCACACGGGTTGGCTGGCCACTTTTGCCAAGCCCCTACTAAACTCTACCTATCTACATAATGCCTTAACAA